ACCTTTCGAGCGGCTGGCTTCGAGATTGGGATTCCATACCATCCATTTGTTGCTCATACGCATCGTTGAACCCGCCAAAAGTGGGCAACAACTCGAAACGCGCAAATCGCTCCAAAGTTTTTGACAATCAAGGGCCAAGCGTGAATCATGATGATGATGCCCATGATGCCCATGATGCACATGATGATGATGCTGATGCAGACGAGCGTATCTGTCAGCTTGTCTAAGACATCATCAATTTGGTTGCCAAGCAGCAGCAAACTCCCTACAAGCCGGGCCCCCGCTACACGCTCCAGCACAACGCTCACTCCTTTTTATACCCTGTACCCAGAGCACTTGGCTTAGGAGGGGTATGATGTTTTTGTGCATTGGTATGTAACAGACAGAAGAAAGCATCTCCAGTCGCAGAAAGTACATATATTTTTGATCAGGAAGACGAATTTTATCGATCTAGCCATATCCGTCTGTCTGTCTCTCTCTCTCTTTGTCTCTCTTCGATAACTTCTAATTTGTTTGTCCTAACAACGATAAATATCGATTTTGAGGCATGGTTTCTTGAGCATAGCTCGAAAAGTACAAGATCTAGATAAAGTTTATCCAGAATATTTCGCACAATAAATAATTTAATTTTATTATATATATTCAAATTTTTAGAAATATTTATATTTTGATTGGGCTTTTGGCTTTTAATCTTTCTATTCTTTTATATAAAATACACTCGTTTTTTGGAGCATTACTAAATATAATTTTTTTTTTTTATATTTATTGAGGTTATCGTTGAGGCTGTTCTGCGTGCAGGGCATCTCCAAGTCGGACACACCCGTCTAAAGCTTTCTTAGTGGGTTTTTTTTTGGCTCATTGCATGTGAACCACAAAACACTTTGAAGCAAAAAGTTTTCTGCGGCTGCGGCATATATACACATATATACACATATTTCTATATAAAATATATGTATATATATATATGTTTATTTATATATGTGTGTGTGTGTGTGGGAGGAAGTGTGTGTCAGTCTTACAGTGGCTTAAAATATACTAAATAAAATATTTGGCCAAAAATATATGAGATTGCAAAAACTAACACAACAAAGTTTAATGTTAAAAATTGCTTGAAAATAATTAAAAAACATAAATACGAAAAAATTTGGTGCTAGATATTGCCTTAAAAAATCTATCTAAACTAACCTAAACATAAAGTTTAGTTTTAAAAATTGCTAGAAAATAATTTAAAAAAAAAAGAACATACAAATTTGGAGTATTAAAAATGTTTAAAAATATAAAGAAATCGTTTCAGAATCGGTGGGATGCAAAAATATGATTTTTTGTATAGAAAACTTATAAATTTATTGTAAGTATTTTATTTATTACATAAAAAAAACCTTTAAAGTCATATGTAGGCAAGAATATTTCATTTGCGAGCTGTATCAAACGCATGAATCTATCTTTCTCCCAATCAACTTAGATCTTTACCAAATATATCTATCCTTAACTAAATGTCTATATTAAACTGTGGCTCTTGGAACTTGTGTATTCATATAAAAACCCTGGAAAATTGTCCTCAATTTCGCATAGTTTCGAGCCACTGTGCAATCATTGTCGCGCTGATGAGCCATCGTGCACTTTAAGCAAATTAGTTACGCAGCTCATGTTTGCTGGTCCTGTTTGCTGTTCCTGCCAGACCCGCACTCCCCCCTGCCCTGCCCCATCCCTTTTCACGCACACATAGAGCTTGAGCGTGTGTGTGTGTGTGTGCTTGTGTGTTGGCAAACAAATTTAATAAATAGCTAAAGACACAAAAGTCACAACCCTTTGTAATGGCAAACTTCCACGCACCAGCCCCTTTCCGCTTAGCCCCCTCCCACTCTGCTGGGTGTTGAGTGGGGGGGGGGGGGGGGGGGGGTGGGAGGGGGTTGCTCTTTGGTTGATTCTGCTCGGTTGGGCGTCTGTCAACAGCCGAAAGGCAGCGACGCAGTTGAAACTGAAGAAGCCATCGTCATCCTGGCCATGTCCATATTCATATTTACTTAAGTTTATGGCTCGTTGTATTTGTTCTTGTCAGGGATATATTGTTGTAAATTGTTATTGGATGTTGTTGTTGTTGTTGTTGTTGCTGCTGCTGCTGTTGTTGTGTGTCCGCATTTGCTTTTGCGGCCAGCCACATAAAATATATAACACTTCATTTTAACATATTTGCCGGGGCCCCGCCCCTCATTTGTTGGCCGTTGTTTTGTTGTTGGCCAAATGTCTTGAGCCAAATTCATGTGACGCCTACGACGATTACGAAAGAACAACAACAACAACAACAACAACAGCAGCTTCCACTAACCGCGACGAGGGTCTCGAGTTCGGGCGAGAAAGATCCAGAGGGAGAGGGGGAGGGGTCGGTATGGAATTCTGGGATTTCGGTGGCCGTTTTGGTAGTTTTGCAAGAGCAACGTCTGCCGCTGACTGGCCCCATAATTTATATGCTAAACATATTGCGCTTATATGGATTACAAAAATATTTCTGTGTTTAGTTTTTGACATGGCGCAGTATGTACAGAAGGGCAGGGAGAGGGAGGAGAGGAGGGTGTGCCAGGGCTTGGCCTAAGCAGGCACAGATTTTGCTTTTGGCCTTATTGGCCCAACCCGCTCGGCGGAGAGCACAGAACAAGTTGGCTGTCAAATGCAGTTGCCTTTGACCTTTCAAAACAAAATTGAGTTTCAATTGAGATAACTTATGTAAAGGTCGCTGCCTTTTCAAATTTTTAATTACATTTGCATAGACACATTGAAAAGCTGAGTTAAAATGCAAGCCGCAGTGCTTTAATGCGTTTAAGGAGAATTCAATTATATATATGAATAGTATATTCAATTTGGGGTTAAACACAATATTTTACATTGAAGAATGTGAAAATGATTGCTGAATGACAACTAGGTTATAAGATGTATTCATTGGCACAATCTTATAATTTATATCATATAAAATATATATAATAACTTAAAGTAGATACAATAATATACCTTACAAATAAATTATAAGATGACGGCCTTTTCTAAACCATTTTATGGTCTACTTCTAATTCCTTCAATTCCCCACTCTTTTATATACATTCTTTAATAGCTTCGATTCTTTCACTCCCATCTTTTTAGCATCTGCAGCGCATAAATATAACACAAACACTTTGAATCCGACTCAGTACAAGACCCTACAGACATAATTGGGCATATGTAGCTCTTATGAGCTCTGAGTATGATCATCGATCATCATATGAAAAAATCGATATTTATCGGTACTTATCGACATCGTGAAAAAGAGGGTAAGCCTGCCCTAAAGACCAAATTAAGCATATGTAGCTATTATAAGCTCCGAGATATGATTAAAAAAAAACGAATGTGAAAATCGATAATTATCGATATCGTATTAGAGAGGGTAAGGTGTCCTGCAGACCAAATTAGGCGTATGTAGCTCTTATTGACTCGGAGCTATGATTACAAAACATAATGTGCAAATCGATAATTATCGATATTCATTGATATCATGAACAATAGAGTAAGCTATCGATCATTTCAAATAAACTTGAACGGCATGGACAAAAGGAAGTTGCTGGCGACTAAAGTATCCAAGATCAAATATTTTATACAGACGGACAGGCAGACGGAAAAGGCCTAAAATTGTTGTGGAATGTAAGTTAACTAAAAGCTATTTAAAGGCACATATATTTTCTTAAGCTAAAGGGCAACACCTTTATGCTCATTATTTCAACTCTTTTTCTCTCCCTTTGAGTCAAATTTGACATAGCGAAAAAGAAACACAAAGAACTCAAAAGTTAGTTCAAGGTGGCACTTCAACTGTCATTATACTCCAACATAGGCAATCTTGGCTAAACATTTAAGTAAATACTACATGTAATTCTTGTAATTATATGATGAATTCTCCATTGTCCCATACTTGATTGTTTTATTTTAAATGTCTACCCTATGCCGATTAAAAACTGTTTATAAAGGAAGGGTATAACGCTTGTGTCCAAATGTAAGGCGTAAAGGAAAATAGCTAAGATCTTTTATAACATCAGTAATCCTAGAACATCTGTCTTTACAGATATGGCATATAGTTATATTCCTTATAAGTAAAAGTTGTTCGTCTGTTTATAACAGTTGGGGACAACCATGGGAGTTGTCGATTATGTATTTTATTTTATGTTATCGATATCGATAAATATCGTTGCTACAATTTCTGTTATTGATATCAATTTTATATTAGGTAGCATAAATATCGTTTCAAGATCTACGCCCCAAAATGAAGAAATACATTCGAGCTACAACCCTAATTTTTGGTATATGCACCTATTTGATTGTTATCTTCATATGCTCAAAGCTGAACAACGATCTGCCGTAATTGAAGAATATTTTTTTCAAAATATGAAGCAGCAGACAGAGGGCGCATAGTCGCTGTGACATGGCTGCTTACAGGGTATCTGCCAGTGCTTACTTATGTATGTTTGTTTGTTTGTTTATTTTATGCACTGTTCGCACAAACGGCAATTCCCCGGCAATTTCAGACTGACTGACTGCCTAGGTAGCAGGCACCTTGTAGGCATTCATGCATTTGCCATTCGCATGAAGCGCTCAACGATGCATGAACCATTCTGCAGACGAACTGTGACTCTGTGACTGCGACTGCGACTGTGACTGTGGCACACACACACACACATACACACACATACATATATGTATGTATGTTTGTACGCCTGAGTCATGACTGGCACACCCACGGCGCAACACCTTCCTGGGTCTATGCACGGGCCAAGGCCAATGCTCATCCGCATCGGCAATTGGTCAGCCGAGTTCCAAGTATTTGGCCTGGCCACAACAATTGCCCCAATGTCAATTTAGCATGACGAGGCCATTAGCTGTGGCCAAGGATTGGCCAGCACGGTAGCAGGGCTTGCAGGCTGGCATTGGCCACTTCCTTATGGCTTACAGTCTAGAGCAGAACTTTAGCACGCTTCGTCACTTACCTATGATGCACATTGTGTAGCTGGATCTGGCGTGTTGTTGTTAGTCGACGCTGCGCCGTTAGCCCACTGACTGCGCTGCTGCTGCTGCTATTGTTGTTGTTGTTGTTGTTGTTGTTGTTGCTGTTGTTGCGGCACCAGAGAGGAAGCTTCTGCAGCTTCTTCACGTCCGGCGAGAGGCCAATGATGCGCGTGGCAGCGGCACTGGCACTCAGCGGTGACGTCATATTGGCCAAATCGCTGGCATCCGTATCAGCATCGGCCTCAAGCTGCTGCTGCTGATGTTGCTGCTGCTGCTGCTCGCTGCGCAGTCGCCGTGTTGAACGACGCTGCGGCGGCGGCGGCGTTGTTTTTGGGGCCAAGCGGCGACGCTGCAAGCCATTCGCTTGTTGTTGTTGTTGTTGCTGTTGCTGTTGCTGCGTAGTTGTTGTCGTTGCTGATGTTGTTGTTGTTGTTGTTGTTAGTCGACCCGTTTTCACAGGCCTCAATTTGATATCACTTAACCATTGTGGGCGTGGCAGCTGTATATTGTTGTTGCTGCTATTGTACTTATTGTTGTTGTAGCTGTAGCTGTAGCTGTTGTTGTTGCTGATGTTGTTAATGTTGTTGTTGTTGTTGTTGTGTTTGTTGTTGTTATTGTTGCTGCTGTTGTTGTTGCTAATGCTTTGCCAATGTTGTAGCTGCAATTGCCTTGAATGCTGCAGTTGTTGCTGTTGCTGCTGATGATGTTGATATTGTTGTTGCTGCTGTTGGTTAATAGTTGCTGCTGTCATTGCTGTTGCTGTTACCGCTGTTGCTGCTGTTGCTGCTGCTGCTGTTGCCGTTGTTGTTGTTGTCGTACCATGATTGGGCGCTGAACGCAAATCATTCAGCATCACATCCAAATCGCTGGCCAGCGAGCTGAGCAGCTGCAAAGATCAAATAAAATTAAATAATATAGAGCCACAAAATCTGCAAATCTCACACAACATCAAGACGAGTCGAATTTTGGGATTTAGTAATTAAAGAAAAAAAATAAGACCAGAAACATCGCAGATACAACTTTCGATTCCCATTTTTCATTCAGACATCTTAATAAATGTTCATGCAGCAATTTGTGTATGAGTTTGAACCAGTTACTTCACCCACCTAAGCTTTGATAGTCATTTAACACTCACGATTTTGCAAAAGATGTGAAATAACTCTTAAATTAATTTTCAAAAAAGATACAAATGTATGAAAGTATAGCTGCTTGTGTATGGATTTGAACCAGTAACTTCGCCTAGCTTTAGGCAAGAATAAAAAATCAGACCAGAAACTTCGCCCATAAAACATTTGATACCCATTTTTAACCCAGACATCTCTAATGAATTTTTAAGCAGCTATTTCTGTATGAGTTTGAACCAGTAACTTCGCCCACCTAAGGTTTGATTCTCATTTTCCACCCGCGATTTTGGGAAAGATGTGAAATACCTCTAACATTTATTTGGAATATAGAGGCTATATGGTAAACATAAAACAACTTGAATGCAACTGATTTCCGCGAATTTTCCACACTTGAGGGTGGAATTATCAAAATACCCGTCATACTATAACAAGAACTAAATACAGTTAAAATTTTAGCTTCCTCATTGGTCAGAACTAACCAAAAAGTCAGTCAGTCAAAGATTCTATATACTTTGGCCAATTAAAAGCTGATAAATGTAGTTGTAGAAGATTCTACAGATTGACTACCTGCAATTTCTTTATGATCCAGTCTTCAAGTGTTTAAGCAATTCTCATTTATTGCCCTTCAACTGAGCCTTTAGACAAGTGCAAATCGAAATAATAGTATAATAGCTAAAGTCATCAATTAATAACTCTGATGCATATGGAATATACAAATTTTCTGTAGAAGTGATCCACTTGGGTAAGCTTTTTTCGCGAAATATTTACAAATATTTGATTGAGCTAAACAAAAAACAAAGAAGAAAAAGAAAAGCGATTCGCTGGAAAATTGCAAATAGCTATAGCAGAATCGATGGGTAATCAAGTTCTATGCAAATCTGTCAGGTTTGTGGGTTAATGAACGGATGTCTCAACCAGCCATCGACTTGACACAGACAATCAAGTGCTGACGCCTCGACTGGCCGGGGCTGGCCATGAGAAACGATGTGGCTGCCGTTGATTTTCTTTCAGGCTTTTTTATGGCTTTTTCTCATATTTCGTTTGCTATGTATTTCTTGCCAAATCATGCCCCAGAGTCTAGGCAGCTTGGAGTCGGCCTCCGCGAGGAATTTCCGTTACACAAACAAAGCGCCAAAAGGCCTGCAACTGGCGGCATTCGGAGCCGCGGCTGGACCAGGCCCGAACTGGTCTTGACTTCCGGCCATCGCAGGCATCGAGTGTGGGGAGGCCTTGACGGGGCTGACGAGGCTGACCAGGCTGACGGCGCTGACGAGGCTGACGATAAGGCAACGCCTCAAATAATTACGCGCCACTGTCTCGACAAATGCGGCTAATAATAACGGGTTTATGGGTAGGCCGTGGCTGGGGTCGGGCTGCCCAAAAGCAAGACAACAAAACGCATGCAACGTGCAACATGCAACGCTTAATTCCAAAAACAAAAAACAACAAAAAATTTATTCGACAGCGAACCGGCTCCCACGCTCTGTGCTAATTTGAGCTCCACTTCTGTTTTTTTTTTCTTCTTTTCTTTTTTTTTCGGTCTCAGTTGCCGTCTTTTTCGACTTTGCGCATTTATTTTGGTTTTTATTTATTATTTTTTTTATTTTTTATTATTTGTTGTGTTTTTTTTTTGTTTTGTTTCACTTTGTTGTTGCTGTTGGTATTTATAAATATTTCTACAGTTTTTGGCCGAAACTTCGCAAACATTGCGAGCTCTATGCAAATTTTATGCGCTAAAAACTGAAGCGAGCAAATGGATCGCATTTAGCAGAAACTGAAGTGCGCTACAACAGCATTAAATAAATTAAATATGAAATCAAAACAAAAGAAATTTTAGTTGATTTTCGATTTTCTTGGCTACGAGACTGACATTTTTGCCGGGTCAAAAGTGAGCACTACGGCGGAGTGGCCCCAAATTCATTTCCCTATTGAGGGAGTACGATGGTCAAAATTTGTATGCAAAACAACAAAAATGTGAGCTTTGCAAACGCGAGCTTATGAGCCCATCTAACTTAGGTGTCTGAGCGTTGAACTAGCAAGCGAGAGGTCGCTGGCTCAAATCCGGCAGGAATGGGAGAATAGGCTTTAAAAAAAACTTTCTATTGTTTTTTTTAACTTGTCAACTAAACTGCTGTCGACTTGTGTGTGCCTGAAGCTAGCGTTTTAAGGCTCAGACAACGCCGGGTAATTTCTTGTAGTCTATAATACACATCTGACAACAAATTGCAGCAAAAGTTGATCTATTATTAATTTCTTATATAATTCTTACGCGTTTTTCTCGGCCCAAACATGCCCCATCAATATAAGCTCCATGCTAACTAAACAATGCGTGTCGCTAATTTGCACAGGTTCTTAGCGATCCATTTAAATGGCACACGTGTTGCAAGCTGCAGCAGAACACGCATACGCCTCATTGCACACTTAATGTGCAGCGTGCAGTGTCGTTTTGTGTGTAATATGTAAATTCAAAAGGAGAAAAAGGCCTTAAACACATGGCTTAGCGTATAATGTGCAACACACACTCAAGCACTTAAGCACACACACACTCACACACACACACACACACACTCGGTATGTAGACAGGCCAGCCAATTGAGCAATTGCCACAGCAAACAAATTCAAATTGAAAATGTGGGCAAAGCAGCGCAAAAAAACACAAAAAAAACTTAAATAAAACGGAGAAAAAAAAATGAGTAAAAAGAGCGAGAGAGAAAAATGTATAAACGACAATCACCGAGTTTCTTGTTTGAAGTACAAACAAAACTTCAATTGGCTGCGACTGCAATTTCAATTTAGGAATCATAAAATTTGAAAACAAGTAAGAACGGCTCACTGCGGCACGCCGAATATTAGATGCCCTTGCAGCAATAAGGCTCAGAAGTGGCGCGATACACAAAATACACAAAATTTCCAACAGATTGATCTTAAAGAAGCCCCATAATATAGTATTTCGATTTGATACGGATTAGCAGATATGTGAGCAAACTATCAGGGAATATACATGTCTTGAAAACAAAAAAATCTATTAAAAACGTGGTTTTTTACCAATTTATCCTACATTCCAAAAATGTTTTTATCTAAATCTTAGAAACTCGCCATGAAAAGCAAAATGTTCTTAATTTCAGCAAAGTTTTCCAAAAGTTCCAAACCAGTTTATGTAGTCAGAGATATCTTCTTATATGCGTAACACGTTCCATGGCAAAATTATAAAATCGTCAACAAGGGTATTTAAAGAAATTTAGAAAAATTTATATTGATTAACTAACATTTAGGAAACTTTTTTGATTGTAGTATATAGAGTTATATGACATAGATACAATTTTATATTTTACAGATTGTTTCCGCCTATAATGGTCGGATTTAATACGGATTGGCAAATTTGTTAGCCGAATATTGGGGAATCGAAACACGCCTTTAAATATTCAAAAATTTTACTTTAAAGAAAAACTAGTTTTTCCACTGATTTATCCTATAGTTCTGTTATATGGCATACAAAAATTTTATTTCCTCTAATATAGTAGTCCGATTTCATACGGATTCATATAGATAGTTAATAAAATATAGGGATATATATTTGCTAAATGAAAAAAACGCATTGTGCGACCGATTTGTTCTATATATATTTGATACATATATATTATAGTGATCCGATTTTGGGAATATGGGATCGAAAATGCCTGCTACTAAGCGTTGCACATTTGATGACAAAATAATGATGCCCTCATGAAAGGTATACAAATGAAAATGAAAATTTGTTCGTGTATTTATTATAAAATTAAATTAAACGAGCTTGGGGACTTATTGCAACGACACTGGATATGGGACAACTGGACGGTGCCCAGTGGACAGTGGACAGTGGACAGTTGATAGTGGACATTGGACACTTACCGCAATGGCATCCATCACAGCATTAACCATGTTTCTTGTTGTTCTTGTTGTTGTTGTTGCTGCTGCTGCTGTTGTTGTTGTTGTTGCTGCTGCTGTTGTTGTTGTTGTTGTTGCGCTTCTTATGATTTATTTGACAGTCATGCAAACATTTTGCACAATTTCAATTCGTTGCCGTCGTCTTTTATTTCAGCCTCCGCATTTGCTGCTGCTGCTGCTGCTTCCTCTTCCTCTTCAGGTTCAGCTTCAGGTTCAGCTTCTGCCTCCGCTTCGGTTTCAGTTTCGGTCTGAACTCCGCGTCCTTTCGCGTCCCGCGCGCTTCTCAGCTTGAAAACTGTTGACATTTAATTAACGTGCTCGATTTGCCTATGCGGCAGGTGGGCAGCTCGTACAGCACACACACACACACAGACGCACACACAATCGCGCACACACACTCACACATACATGATTGAAACGTGCTGGGCAGCTGTGGATAAAAGATTGACAACGAGTTAGTGCTGGGTTTAAAAGTACCTCAAGCTGTTAATAGGTGTAGAGTGAGCGTTAAAAGGACTGTCTACCAAAGCGAACCAGTTGCCAGCTCTGACAAAGAACATTAATAATAATGGGAACTGCTTCTAGTTAAAAGTTGATTTGTAGTTTAGGATCATATTATCATTAATTGGCATCTTTTTTTTCAAACATATCTTCCATTTGTGTAGCTAACTTAACAGAGTTAACAGTCTTTCTAGCTTTACTGCCTAAGCAGAAAAGGTAATGACATGTAAACTTTTGTTAGTAAATTTATATTAAAACCTCATGCATGCTTACAAGATGAGATCACAAAATATTATCAAATATGAGCCGAAATTCATCAAATATTTTCACTAATGAGAGCCTATTCTTATATGGGCACATGAAAAATACTCTACAGAAATGTTCTCTTCAGTCAGTCGCTTTTTAATTTCAAATCCTACATTTTTAATTTAATTGTTTATTTTTGCCTCAATATAAAAGATTTGTATTCGAGATTTGTCAAGACAACCAATCGATTATGATATAAATAATATAATATAAATAAATGAACTAAAATTCTTATATTTGTGTTTCATATTTGTTTAGATCTTCAAAGTCTAGAATAAAAAAATCGATCTACTATTCTTTACGGACAGCAGTTCGGAATAGTTATAATTAGGCTCATACTTTTAATATCTTGTTTACGTACTTTTGTATATCTTTAAAAAGCCGTTCAAAAAAACTAAATTCTTTTTTAGTCTAGCACAATTTTTACTTCATGCTCATAGACAAAGATCAAAAGACTTTATTTTTATTGATTTTTTAATCATAATATTTTTCATTAAAAAAAAAAACAACTCTCTTTAATTGAAAGAAGTTTTCTCTTCAAATAATTATGCAAAATAATCGCTTATTATGGAAATGATATGAAAAGAAAGAAAATTAAAATGTTCGAATGCGATGCCATCGATTCGGTCGAGAAAGAAGTAACACACAGAGCGTATTAGTTGGTGATTGGCAGACAAATTGATAAATTCGATTTATGAAGACCATATGCTCATTATGAATGTCCAACTGCTGCCCAGTTGAGTGTGAGCCGGCGGCGATGCCAAATGGCAATTGGTACTCTCACACGGAGCGCAATAAGCCAACTAAAAAGTGAATGTATTTTGCGGATAGTCGTACTTTTAATTAAAAACTGCGCCATGGCTAACGGAGCAATCGCGCTGTCCAAACATTGCCGAGATGTTTGACGATGATGATGTCCGTCCGCTCGACCGCGGCTATATGTCTATATGTCCATATGTCCGTATGTCTGGCTGGATGTCTGGATGTGTGGATGTCTGAGTATGAGTGTGTGTCTGGTTGTCCTAACCGCATTGCGCGACGCATGAAAATAAAAACTTGTTTCACGTATTTTTCACAATTTTCCGCATTTATATGCTCATTAATTACATTTTCATTTCCATTTCCATTTGCATTTACATAACCATTTCTTGTGTGTCGGCTGCTTAATGCCTTATTTTATTTGATTTAATTTTCTTCTTTTTATTGATAATCATTTTTTGTTTGCTTAACTGGCTCAGAAAAGTCAGCAGCCTGCTCAAAATTCCACAGCAGTTGACGGAAGTTGAATTGCAAATTAAAGTGCCAGCGATTTATACGATTTGATAACAAACAACAGCCAAAAGCAACTTGAACTGCATTCGAACTACGCACAATTTAAGCTCAACCAACAAAAAAAAAGCAAACAAGAAAAGCAGTAAAAATGATATTGTCAACTGTGCTCGACGAGTAAATACCCAGCAAAGAAGAGCTCTTCAATTTCACTCGAATAAATAACATATTTTCCTGAACTATATTCGGCTTACGATTCGATTTCCACATTTCGGAAGCCAGTTTTGAACTCATATTTTTTACTTTTGCCAATAAAATAATTAAATTTTAAACATTTACATATTTTAATGTTTCAAAAATTAATTGATTTTTCATATTCAGATCGTTGAATATCAAAAAAATTTACTTTCTGAACCATTCCAAACCATTTTTAGAGATATTTTTCGGTTCAACTTTAAGCTCAGTTAATCTTAATTCAAATATTCGGTTCGGTTTAACATAGAGTTCCGCTGATCTCTATCAAAATATTCGGCTTTAAGTTTCGGTTTAGAGTCAATCAAAATCCGGATCGGTTCAAGTTAAAGTTCAGCTGATTTTTATCCATAAATATTCGGTTTTAGGATTCGGTTCAAAGTGAACCATAACCGAATCGGTTCAAGTTTAAGTTTAGCTGAACTTTATTTAAATATTCAGCATTCAGTTTCGGTTCAAAGAGAATAAAAAACCGGTTCGGTTCAAGTTTAAGTTTAGCTGATCTCTTCACAAATATCCAACCAAAACCCGGTTCTTTTCAAGCATAAGTTCAGCTGATCTGTATCCAAATATTCGGCTATAAGTTTCTGTTCAAGGTGATCCAAATATGCAGCTTTAAAGCTTTCGGTTCAAAGTGAACTAAAAACCGTTTCAATTCAAGTTTAAGATTAGCTGATCTTTATACCATTATCCAACTTCAATTTTCGGTTCAGAGTGAATCAAAAACCGGTTCGGTTTAATACCGGTTTCAGTCTTCCATCCGATCGTTGTGGAATTTATATATATTAAATATACCTTACATACATTATCCATGGCTCTGTGTTACCTTACTAACCCCCTTTACAGGGTAATAAAATACAAGCAAATAAAACGTGAATTAAACACAAAAAGATACAAAAACAATAAAAAATTGTGTGACACGAAAAACGCGTGAAAAAAAAGGAACGCGTGAAATCGACGCAGTTAACGTCGCGTCGCTGTCGCTGCGCAGCCGCAGTCGCAGCTCATTACTCAAGCTTAAATGCATACGAAATGAGATTTTGTCTCGGGAGTTGTATTTATTTAAGCTTCATTGTATATATAAATTGTTTATTATATGATTTACACACTATGCACAGTGCCGAGTGCTTTGAATTTGTCATGAGGCGCATTCAAATCGACACTGACAAGAGAGAGAGAGAGAGAGAGAGAGAGAGAGCGAGATATTATCTATCTAAATGAAAAGTGAAACAAGCAATTTACAATTCTTAGCCACAATATTTTATTTCTATATTTAGTCAAAATGAATATGGTCTAGAACTAGCCAAAATGGTATTTAAGTCCAAATACGAATATAAACGTTATGGAATGCGGAACTTAATAAAATGTGAGACAATGGAAAGTGAATCATAGCAATGAATAGCAGATGTTTGCGATATGTACCATTGCCCTATAATACTTTGGATCAATTTGAAAAATGTATAACATATAGAACACCAAGCAGGAAAACAATGTGGAATCACAATCATGTCGAACAAAACGGGCTGAACCATATAAATGAGCAGTAAGAACGTGGAACAGTTTGATATGAAATGGATGAATGTAGATCAATAGAATGTAATACTTTATACATTTTTATGTAAAGAGATGAATGTCGAACAATAAATAAATAAATAAACAGTAGAAAATTTGAAACTAAAAGAACGTGAATTTGACTTGTGCAACAGATGGAATGGGAAACAGTGTTTGGTGTAACAAATGGAATGGAACAATACTAAGCGAATAGCGTCAATGCAAATAAATCAATAAATCAAAATATAACTAGAATCTGTGTTACTTATATAAATAAATATATAAATATTGAGCAAGCTAATTAAGAATTTAAAATGGAAAGGTCACGCAAACCAGAATTAAATAAATACTAAATAAATACTTATTAAAAATAAATAAATAGTGCAGCTGGTTCAGTTTATGGCTCAAAGCAAAGCATAGCATGCAGATTTAACCCAATTAAAAAACAAAAAAATTAATATAAAATTTTTTTATGTATACCAAAAAATAATTTATTTTATGTTTATTTTGATTATTTTTTGCAAAAAATTTTGTTAACCATGCTTTTCATTGGCTTGAGGCTTAGATTCTTATGTTTTCTTTTTTAAAATGGTGCACTTCACAGTAAAATACAGTTTCAGTACGGCTTTGAACCCGCTTGCAACTAGAACAATAGGCTAATCGAATGCTTCCAGTACATTCCCTGTTAGTCATAAAGTAAACAATAAATATTTAAGACAGACTTTAACTATTGATATGCCTTGTAAAAAACACACCGCCATCGTCTCAATATTTCTCAACATTTCAACAGTTTTTGAACAATCTAAATATTTATAAGCCAAAGAGCATTTGTGCTTCGCACTGGGCATCAAGTTTTCCCAACTTGTTGATGTCGCTTGTTTATATTTACCATTTTGTGGACCGGCTCATTAACAAAAGCGACACATGAGACAGCAGCAGCAACAACAATAAGAGCTCTGTGACAAAAGAGTTTTGTATGTCATGAAATTTCAGACCAAGTTCCAATTGCCCAGTTGCCAACTGCCCCCGCCCGCTTGCCCAGCCACGCAGCTCAAAGTTGTTAATACACTATCTGAACGATTGTTTATTAATTTTGCTTTTATGCAATACGCAAAGTTGGGCTATTATTTATGTTAAGGTAACAAAACAAGACCACAAGAAAAAAAGAGGTTAAAGCGGCGATAAATTGAAGTTAATTAAATGATATTGAGCCATAAATTGAAGACGGCATTGCGCGCTGACCACCATCCAGATACAGATACAGATACAGATACAGATACAGATACAGATACAGATACAGATACAGATACAGATACAGATACAGATACAGATACAGATACAGATACAGATACAGATACAGATACAGATACAGATACAGATACAGATACAGATACAGATACAGATACAGATACAGATACAGATACAGATACAGATACAGATACAGATACAGATACAGATACAGATACAGATACAGATACAGATACAGATACAGATACAGATACAGATACAGATACAGATACAGATACAGATACAGATACAGATACAGATACA